AGTTTAATGAGCGAAACATCTGTTTGCATATTTGCTATCATTAATATTATGCAGATGAATAGATATTCACAATGTGATAGGCATTCGTGCTAACGCCTCATTTTCCGTCATTTCTAGTCTTTCTTCCTCTGCCCACTGATGCAGCCAGACTTGTATTGTGGGCAGACTTATCTTGTGGGCATCCAATATGGGTTCCTTATCACTCTAGAATTGTTAGTATACCTTGGGTAGTAAAGTTAAGGGTGTGTGTGTACTGGGAACATTCATAAAGAACCTATGGAAAACTGCATTTAGTAGACAATTGGCAAGTACAAATAGCTTCTGGTTCCATTGTGACCTGTATGTTTTCATTCTTCTCATTTTATATTAATTGATCTATAAACTGTGTTAATGTGTCCTGTGGGTGTTGGTATTTTATTTCATTTATGGCCGTGTTCCAGGCTCTAGAAGCGATTGTATGTACTCTCGGGGTGTTGACTTTTGGGTCACTTCAATACAGGAGGGGAAGATGTTAGAGGCCGAAGGACCCATGTGGAGGGCACGGCTGCTGACCCACCAGCTGGGACTGCTTCGGCTTTTGCTGAAATTGCCCTTCACTTGTTTCTGACCTAATTAGGTCTGAACTCTTGGAATGTGAGCAAGCTTTTTCTTGCATGCGGGAGTGCAAACACAGATGCCTTCCGGAGATAGACAGGAAGAATCCTTGTGGCAGAACTTGGGCTTTTGTGGGCCCATCAACTTTGGGGTATTTGCACTGTCAATAATCCACTGGGATGAGAAAAGAAGATACTAGAACTTTTCAGAGTATATTTTGGTCCAAAAGGTAAGAAATTAAAAGAAGCATGACTAGTACTTAATATATATAGCTTGAAATTGAATACGTGATAACAATTTAATCATAACTATCCATATACCAGGGATGATCAATTTATTTAGGGATGGGGATACATGATCAAAAAAGTTTGATAACCTCTAGTCTATGGGAAGATGCACAGTGTTTTCTAGGAAAGCTGAGTAGCCCTTGTCCACCCTCCAGTACTGCCTTGGCTCCTTCACACCCATTTTCCTGTATTGCTGCACAGTCTGGATATTCCAAACAGCCCCCAGGTCTCTGAATGTGCTCTGCTGTTGTGTGCCCCGAGGCCTTTGCACCTGCCATTTTTCAACTTTGCATTCTCTTCCCTTTGCTTAGTGAACCTTTATTCACTTTTGTAAACAGCTTCCTGTACTTGCTGGGCAATATGGATCTCTCTCTGTCGGCCGTATTACCCTCTTCTCATAGCTCTGTTATTGTTTTACAAGTTTGTCATCCTTTTATCTTTTGATCAGCTGAAGGATAGAGCTTGTTCTTATACATTTGTGTATAAATGTTAGTAGAATGAACAAAAGAATGAAGTTAACAAATCTAGCCTTCATAGAGGACTAGCTGTAGGATTTGCATCCTGAGACTTGTTTGGGTCACCAGGAGGGGTCGCTGTTAGCACTTCTTGTAATGGCCAGTGCCTGGCTGGTGGCTCTTTTCTGCGCAGTGGGTTCTCTCCTAATATAGCAGAGTCTAATTTGTTGCCTTCTTCCCTCACCCTTTCTCCATCCACTCCCTTGAAAAGGGGACAGAGGCTGAGCCTAGAAGGCAGGACAGAGCCTCTGACTTTATGAAGTCAGAGGCCCTTGGGTTGCCCCTGACTTTGTGTGCCAGGGGTACCTCAAGAGCCCCCTGGATGAACATGTTGCTGGATGGACTCACAAATGCTGCTGGAGAAATTGCTGATGCTACCTTGCTGTTTCTTCCAGACCAGAGAGGCTATTCTGGAATAAGCAACAATATATAAAGAGGCTTTTGAAAATGTCAGTGGCTGAGAAACTGCAACAAGCAGCTATGAGCAGATTTCGAGGGACATAAAACCACATTGCTCCTGAATGCAGCTGAGCATTCCATTGGCAAGCTGGGCAGAAGAATGTACCAAACTAGGCGAGATCTTTGTATTAACCACAGTGTCAGAGAAGGGAGAATGCACCGCTATTTGACTGTAGTTATGAAAGCACTGGTACAAATAAAAGGAGTATGGAATGTCTCAGTCCCATCCTTTAAGATTGCTGTTAATTTTTTAAACTGTATTTTAATTTAAGGACATTTTAATACCTTAGTAATAAATTAACATTTCAAAAGTACTTTTACCTGCTGCGATGGTTCATTCCACTAATATGGGTAACGCTGTGGACTCGAATAATTAGTGTAAATTGCCTTTGAATAACACAGAGCTGGGAACAACTTTAACTTGCTAGGGCTTAATGCCCCTTGCAGTACAGGATGAAGAGTCCTTAATGGGGCCTGGAAAAACAACTAATACCTACAAATCAAAGGAGAAAAGCCGTTTTTGATGCATTTGTCTGAGAGTGTGAGTTTTAAACTAAATTGTTAACACTTCCTCCCCGCTGAGGGTCATGGATTAGCTAGGCTGGGAGATTCTTTGAGAATCTTTCACACTGACCAGGGGAGGCGGGGGGGTTCCAAATACAAGTGTTTTCTTAACCTTAATCCCTACCTCCCTGACCAGGACAGCTCTGCATTTCCCTCTAATTAGGTGAAGAATTAGGAGGTGGATAAATGTGTTCAGGGATGAGGATAAAGTGATTAGTTCACTCCAGACCATGATAGTGATTTCTAGGCGCTACTTATTTCCTTTCAAGATAATAACTTTTCTCTTTTTGACAAAAACGTATTCAAGCAAACCTCAAACATGTATTTATAGGCAATGATAATTATCTTTGGGCAAGTTAGGGACAGCATATTGACAAACTATTTTTACTTTCCTCTGCGTTTGTTTAATTTTCATAAGATTTTTATCCCATAGAGGAACATCTAGAGCGGTTTCCAATCTGAACCAAGTATTGTAATTATTTGTGCAATCTGAACAAAATTTAATAATGTAACCCAAAAATGTATTCACATTTAAATGATCCTTTCAGTGAAGGAGGAAAAAGACTTGTTGCTTAGTAGCTGTCTGAGATAAAACCATTTGACACATTTTCTGCATATGAATAGATTCTACTGTGTATGCATTTTAAAAGGATCTTACAGATATTCCTTACTGACCTGTAATTTTAAATTTCAAGTTGATTAAAAGCAGTTACCAAATAGCTTCAAGCTTGGTGATATTAGCAAATTTTATCCAGGATGAATAGCCTGGAACTACCCTGACCTCTAAATCAGTTTCTACACACACACACACAAACCCAGACAGGTATCAGAAAGAACATGTTGTCTTTTGCACTCAAACACTGGTTCCAGAATCGCAGGGAAGGTTTTCTCCACTTTGGCCCTTTTAGCTCATTTGTACACTGAACATATTGCTTCCTGGTCTTACCTAGTAGGGGTCTATGTGCTATAAACACATAATGAAAATAACCTCAGGAAAAAGAAAAGTTACCACAAATAACAAAACATAATGTTCCTCTACCCCTTTTCCGAGGGCATCTGAAGGCCCAAGGCATTAGTCCCCCTGGTCCTTTTTGAGGGCTGGCGTTTGTGAGTTTCAAAAGGCGGTGATCTAATTGTTAAATTTTGGAACAAGTTCTCCCTGTTTCATCCTGCTCGGACATTCATCTCTGAGGATTTTAATGAGCCAGAAAGAAACAGAAGGAAAACATGAAATGGGTCCCTGGGCTAAACTGACCAGGGTTAGACCACGTTCAGCCTCTTCCCTCTAGAAGGCATATCACATTGTTATGATTGTTATTATTTTAAAAATCAAACTTCTTTTAAGCTGAAGTAAGGTTTCCTTTCCACTCCTACAACTATCATGGCTGGTTTAAGGTTTGATGTCTGCATAATGCCCAATTATGCTATACAAGACAGATCACACTACATTAGCCGGGATTATGTTGCCTCTTGATCTTATCAGCTTTGTTTCCTAAATTACAAAAAGATCTAACACAGTACTGGTTAGCAGTTTGGCTTAGACAATCTCTATCGCCATCCATCACTGTCACCAGTTAGCGGGAGGCATTAGGCACAAAGCTAAGAGACAGGACGCAGAGCTGACACTCTCTTCCCAGGCAAACGCGCTAATTCCACATTTACGCCAGCTCTTCCTAGGCTTGTCCTTGCTTACTATGGATGCTTCCTTTCTCTTGCTTATTTTCGGAAAAGAAAATAGATGCCAGTAAGTTGTTTGCTTGCTTGGTCTTAAATTCTTTGTAACTACAGAGAGGAGAGGGAGTAAATGCATAGGAACGTGAAAAGATATGTGTTCCCGAGCTAAAATGATGTTCATAAGGTCAGAGATCTGGCTAGGGCATTGAATCTGACCATTTCTATCTCCCGGGGCTGACCTGGGTCAACTCCATACACACGATGGGAATTCTCAGCGGCAAGGTACAGCCAGTCCAGCAACTTGTATTTAGCATTTTCTTCTCCATCATATGTGGGATTACTCCCTATCTGTCCATGTCTGCCTTAAACTCTGGTTGTTTTAAGTAGCACCAGGAGCTAGCCAGGACACCTGGATTCTAACCCATCCTAAGTCAGAGCAGATAGCGTTTATCCTGCGCACTTGTTCTAATTCAGCAGCCTTGATGGGAAGCCTCACACGGAGACACGAAAGAGCGCGAGATTTCAAAACAGACTCCATGACCCCATTTGTGGTCAAAATCTGATAGGAATCCCAGTGGAGATATCTATGTGTCAAGTAGTAAACTTGATAATTGTAAGAATACATTCAATGCCGCAGGAGAGAACACCCAACCAGAAGATTAACATTTCTGTTATATAATTACAAGTTCAAGGAGTTCAGCCTCTTATCACTTTATGGTGAGCATGGAAAGTAGGAGTGATCCTCTTTAATTTGTAATTATTTAACTGCAATGTGAGGTCCGGCGGCCTTATTCTTACCCTTCTGGGCTGGAAGACATTGGTATGCAGAATCCATGCGAGAAGGCGCAGTACACTATCAGAAGAAGACATGTTTGATTATTCTTTAAAACCAACTAAGAGAAGTTAATCTCATTGAACTTCTTTTTATTCAACAAAAGAGTTGGATGTTTCCAAGTCTAATGTGACTATAATGTTCATTAAATGGACTTCTTTACACCTTTAAATGGATTAACTGCACATCTTTACAGTCTAATTATTATACATGTCATTCAAAAAAATCACAGATCTAATTCAGGGGATGATAAAGGCCTTTCTTTTGCGACTCTGGAAAAGACATTGCAGTAAATGGATGTGATTTTTATCAGTGCCATTTTTTTAAAAGGGCACATGTTGCTCCAAGGAGGTGGGAGGGAAAGACGGCACTGGATGTGCTGAATTTTTCTGCCCTGGTGATTTTATTTCAGAGATTTAGGATCTGGCCATGCTGGTGCTTGCTCCTTCCGGGCTCGCTGTGCCAGGTACCTTAGAGGTTCCTCCCACCTAAGCCTGCCCGGCTAATGACTTCAATCTGTCCAAGACAGCTCTTAGTCAGATAAGCGATAAATTATGGACAGCCCCTCCTTCAGTCCTAGGCCTTTGGGGATCCTCTGAGTTCTTTTACCCAGCCCTTTCTTGAAAATGAAAGACACTCTCTCACCATGCTCCCAGAACATACCAATTCTGTTTTTTACAAATACATTTGCCATTATCTCTCTTTGGCCTTCTCTCTCTCTCTCTCTCTCTCTGTGCTGGCGAAGCACTAAATTTGGCATGCAGTGGCAGTTCACTGGTGTCCTGAAGATTTCAGAAGCCTTGCTTGGCTCAGGCATGTACAGATGCCCTAGAAGCTACCGAGGATGTAAAGACATTTCTCTCTTAGGAGAAAGGGATTTTTGAGGGGAGGACCCCAGAAGCCTCCCGAGTACTAATTCAGGCTTCTTCCATTGGAAACTGAAGAAGACACAGATTTATCTTCATTCATTCATTTCACTAATATTTATTGAGAACTTATTATAGGTCATATACCATATGCAGTCAACCAGATGTAGCTCAAAGTTGAGCAGACACAATTCCTACATTCAGGGAGCATTCACTCTAAGAGACATTAACATAAAACTCTGTAAATTGAAGGAGGCTCCAAGTTTTCCATTGAGGAGGGTCTGAGAGTTGGCAGTCTAGTTAGAAGGCGAGTTTAGAGCTTGGAGGCTGTGCTTGCTTGGCAAACTTAAGCTATTCTTCCTGATGTTGAAACTACAGGGTGTTGCTTTGGAGAGGTGAATGGGGACCTGAGAGAGCAAATGAAACACTCCGCCCCTCTCTGGACACTCCACTGGAGCCAGTCAATGGTCCCCACAATCCCAGTCTTGGCTCCCCCAAGCGAGAGGCTAGACCACAGGCAGGGACACGAGGTGTGTCTGTCTTTGGAGTGCCCTTGTGGTATCATGGAAGGGGTGCACATGGGGCCAGGCAATGCTACGTGGAAATGCTAGCACTGCCACTACCTAGAAATGTGACCAACAGCAAGTTACTCAACCTCTTTAGCCTCAGTTTCTTCTTCTATAGATGGGGATAATTACATCCATCTTTCCATGTTCTTATGGGAACTTAGGAACACAAATATATAAAGGGACTAGCACAATGCCTATCAAATAGTAGGTGTTCAATCAATTCTAGGCCCCTTGTCCTTCCCTACCAGTTTCCCTTTCATTGCTGCCTCCCCTCCCCTCCCCACCATGCCATTCTTAATCCTCAGGAGTGTTCAATGAACTTGGAACTCCTCAATGCTTACCTGTACTAGGGCTTTTTGCCTTTTCAAGGCAAATCCTAAAGCACTGAAAATCCCAAGGAGCAGTGCGGTGATGGCCAGTGGGGTCAGTATTTGGCATATGCAGACATCCTCTTGGCATGGGCAGCCACAGAACCACATGACTGCGGACTCTCTCAGCCAGAAGCCCCCCTTTCAGGCTCCATGGTCTCACTCTCATCCTGGCACCTGAAACTCCATCTCGAGCCTGCCTAGCATCTGCGCTTCCAGCTCCAGATGATGAGCCAGGCCCGGTTGGCTGGGGGTTAGCATGTGCTGTCCCATCTTCACCAGCCTTCTGGTCTCCTTCATTCCTGGCATTGCTCAGGGCATGGCATAAACGGGCGAGGTTACTTTCAGAGACGCCTGTCTTGAGGCAGAAAACTCTTTCATAAATCATTTAAGGTCCATGTTGTACTAACATCAATTATCAGAATTAATTGCTCCTTAAAATGTAAAGAATTGTGCTACAAAGAGTCAACATTAGCTCGGGAACTGTAAGTCTCTTCCTCAAGTCTTCTGAAGGCACGCAAGGCAGGTACCGGGGTAAAGCAAACAGCAGCTCTTTGTGTGCGAGGTGCTGTGTCCCCATTTCCAAACTAATAAATACTGAATGAGTAAATAATTTTGTTTTCTCTGTGTTATAAAGATTCAGTCGTATTTGGCCAAGTAACTTCAGGGAATATCATTAAATACTTTTCAAATAGTGCTTTTTTTAAGCCATGTTCTGCTCCTAGAAAATGTCTACAGACCCACTTAGAAAGTGGAGGTGGAAGGAGGCCTGCGTGGGGTGTGGGCTGAGCTATAAAAGGCTCCTTAAGATTGAGACTTGGCACTCTAAGGAGAGAAACCAACAGTTCATTCATTCACTCACCCACTCACTCATTTGTTTTCTTGTTAATTCCAAACGGGCTAGGGAGTCTGTGGTGTACAATGGAATATTAAATTAAAAGGAATTAAAATCTTACCCAAACAAATACATTTGGTAAATAACAAAAAGCCAGAAAAATTTAGTTATAAAGATCTGACTTCAGAATATTTCAGAACACAATATTAATATTTCATTATCTCTGTATGCAGTATACACATAGATACAATTTTGATAATATAAATGTGTTAATTATATACAAATAATATGCATGTTACATCTGAGATGATCTTAATTCCAAAGATATTAGCCGCTACTACCCTATAGGAAGACGTACATTATTACTTCAAGATTTTTCACTACCAATGCACTCTGTGATGATCCTATTTCCATCATAGAGTTATTTGATCTAGGAGATAAAAGAGAAGAGCCTCACTATTTTTTACATTAATTTCATCCTCGGTTTATCAGGTAACAGACAACAAGCCTGTGTCTTGTTTGATTTGCACATATTCAGAGGCCTGACGCCAACTTCAATGCTTGGGAGGGAAAGAATCTTTGTTCAGGAAGTTACTTATTGGACAATTAACATGTGGAAACTATACCAAACAGAATGTGAAAATGGTAAGTTCACGTTGAATTTCCAAAGGGTCTGGAGGCTCATCATTTTTCTCGTAGCAAGACCGTGACAACTCTTGCTGATGGAATAAATGGGATCATTATATTTCAGTCTCCAAGTAATTGTCAGAAATGAAGCTTTGTGAATTTTCCCTAATGGGGCCTGCATCACCCTTCAGTCTTTGGTGTTTAATGGCATTTTGTTTCTGAAAACCTGGGCCTGAGTTTAGCTCTTCCAAATGTTAGGGTCTGTGTCCTGACTCCTCCCTATCTTGCTATGATGAATAGATACATCAGCTGGTTTTCCATCCTCCACCCAATATGTGATTTTATGTGTCCAAAGTGCCTGTGGCAGGTATGTAACATTATAGTGAAACCAGGTGTTCCACCTTAATTGTTGGCTCATTGGTGGATTTGATGACTGAAACATCCATGGGGAGCCGGGGGTGGGGGTGGGGGTGCTGGACAGTAATTTACTTACCACAGCGTCCCCTGGCTGCCTGCTGAGACCCAGGGCTGAAGCGTGGCTCTGTGCAGCCCATGTTCAGGGACCTGGGGCTTCCAAGACCTTGCTCAGGCCTAAGACAGAATGCCAGTTTCACGTCTTTTCTGCCGGCAGGCTGGCTGCATGTGCTCGAGCCTTTGGCTCTGAGGCCAAACAGAGAATGCGACTTGGCTCTGAGGTTGTTTGTGTGACTCATAGGCTCTCAAATACCCAGCTGTCTCCTGGACCTCTGGTTGATTATTCAAGATTTTTTTTTTCCTACTAAGGCTTTCAACCACTGGCATCATAGATTTGCTTGACCTGTGATATAGAAAGAGTTAAACAACCTCATTGTACTTTATTCTTAGTCTGTCCTAGTGTTATTAGGTAATAGACAACATGTTTTTATTTGTACATATTCAGAAAATCAGCACCAGTTTTGGATGATTGGGAGGAAATAGGTTCTTTGTTCAGGCACTTACTCGTTAGACAATTAATATGGGGAAACCATACCAAAGAGTACGTGATAATAATAAAATCACATTGAATTTCCAAAGGGCAGAGCCTACCTGTTGGTTTTCTGACAGATCAAGAAGTTGTGCTGCTTGGTTCAGTGATATCTTTAAATGACAGACATTCTTCCAGAGCACTGGGTGATCCTCTGGAGTGGCTGAAGCTTAGCAACTGTTAAAGATCCACTAAAGATCCTTTTCTGTGGGCAAAAGAGTGTAGACAGAGTACCAGGTCCACAAGGAAGTGGCTTGATAAACGATTTTCCTTAGGTAGTGCCTTCTGTAGAGCTCTTATCTAAAACAAGTGGAGAAAAGCCTTGAATGTGTTTCTCATCTGAGTAACGATGTGGAAGTGCTTTTCAGGGCTTGGGAATGAAGGTGGGAAATAATATTGAGTCCAAGTCCATGCAATCACAGCACCTGGGCCATCTGAACACTTTCCTCACCTAGGGAATTACCATCCTAAACATCTGTATGGATTGGGGCTATAATATTTCTGGGAAATATAATTTCACACTGTTTAGGACTTCTCACCATTTACTTTCTGAAAGGTTCAGATTTGCATTAGTGTTGCAAATTGTAATCCATAATCAAAAGTGGTCGCTACCAATACAGGAAGAATTTCCCATTACTTGTATATCAACAAAATACTTTCTACACCAGGCTTGACCCAGTGAAAGTGCATGCCAAATTGGCATCTAAACATAGTTGAGTCTTGAATTCTCTTGCAAGTGATGGTTCTTTAGAAACATCTCCAAACCTCCATTCCCTTCCTAGAACTTGACAAGACACAGGCACATCGGCACCTGAGCGGTTGACCTGAATTGAGCCCTCCCATCTTCATTTAACAGGTCATGTGATTCCAACCACAGCCCCTAAGTTGACACCTGTTGAAATAATATTGGACCCACGTTTGTAACTAATTGCAACCAAGATGTCAACTCAATTAATCTGACAATAGAAATACCCAGGAGAAGCTGCTCATGCCCAAGCTGGTGTTCCTGGTCAAGTCCGGGCTTGTTGTCTATTACCCGGCAAGACTAGGACCAAATTAACCCTAAATATAAGGTAATTTAATTAACCTCTCCTATCCCAATGGGCAGGTCCCAGACCCTGGGTGCCCCGGGCCTTCTAAAGAAGAGGACGGTTGCACCCCTAGATCGTGCTTTATTACTTTACATGAGTGATTTGCAGCAAAACATCTCCATGAAGCTCCTTTGGCCATTAAAGCAAAAGCACGACTTTTAAAATCACCCTTAAAGACAAGCAATAAATTACATAAAATTCCCTTATAGGAAAATACAACTTGTAAGAGTCAATATCCTTCAAGGAATACATGTGCTTCCTGGAGAGAGGGGAGAGAGAGAGGGTTGCGCAGAGTCACGGGTGAGCAGAAAGGAGACGGGATCTGATTTAAAAGGAGCAACAACAACAAGAGGACGGTCTGAAAGACCCAAAAAACAAAGAAGTCACAATAAATGTAAGAAAAAAATACACTTTGTGGAATTGTCTCATTATAAAGACATTTCTTGAGCTGATATTTTGAAGGGACACAAAGGCGGCTTTTATTTCTAAATTTCAAAACCTCTGGCCCTTTACTCTCTCATCCTCAGTGAACTGAACATCGACCCATCTAATTATTCTTCCCATTTCCTCCATTTCCAAGATGAAACCAACACAAAGGACATAAAGCCACAGGCTGTAATCTTTATGATTGCAAACCGAACTATTCAGTCTGCAAAGGTGACGCAGATGAGTGGAAAAGGCTGGTGGGGAAATGAGACAGCTTATGGCTGTAAATGTGAGCAAGCAGAGTCCTTAACTTGTAAATAGATTGCCCCTGGAGGTCCTGGGGAGAACGTAGGCTTTGCTTTTCACAGTCAGGTTTATGGAGTGGAAGAACTTGCTGAGAACTTGTCCGTGTTCTCTCCTGGGCCTCCTGGTGATGAGAGATGGCACGTGCTGAAGGCTGACTGGGGCTTGGTTTGTGTGGTTGTGGGACAGAATTTTTCTCCATGTGAGGCCAATTAGATTAGACATCAAAATGAAAAGGAGGTTGCAGCACATTTTCAAGTGTAGATGAAATAGGTACCTAGGTCAGGAAATACTAGGTCAATAAAAGCCTGCAGACATCATTAAAAGGCAGATCAGCGGGATGGACCAACACCATGAAATGTTTTAATTTGCAGAAGGAAATTAAAACTTTGGGAGAAGCCTGTGGCCAATGGAAGCGCCAGCCCTGGGGTCTCTGCTTGGTGACCTTGGGTGATCTTGGGTGTTCTGGGTGCCAATTTCCTTGTCTCTTTCATGAGGGAGTTGGAGTGCATGACCTAAATTTACCACAGTTCCATTTAGTACTTGACAACTCAGCACTGAAGACACCTTAAGCAGCTGCTTCACAGCCACGACTGCACATTAGAATCACCTAGGGACCTTTTAGATTCCCCAATGCCTAGGTTGTGTCTGGACCAATCCAGTCAAGATCCCTGAGGGTGATCCCAATATTGCCAAGATCGAGGATCACCAAGCTCTTGTTCTCCCTCATAAATAGGAACCAGGGCCACCTACACATTTCCCTGCCATCCTTGAGAAGATGGGAAGGGATCAAAGGTGTTGCTCAATCTCACATTCCATTTCCTGGCAAACAGCTCAGGACACATTTAAATCAGTGATGGGTAACAAGTAGAGACGATGACATCACCCCACCAGCAGCTGCCCCCACCCCTCCCAGCTTGCTGGTGGACAGACCTGGAGAAAGCTGCGTGGGGTCCTCTCAAGCTGGTGTGTAAGGCATGGGTCATTGTGGAGCACCTAGAGCTGATTGCTTCTTTGGTGCTCCCAGCCTACACTGAGGAACAAGCAGTGCTATCAACCACGTACCCTCTGCAAAGCAACTATCATAGTGTACATTGGCCCTGGAGCTCTCTCCAGGGGATAGGGATAGGGGAGAAAACTGAGACCCATAAAAAAATGGTCAGTGTGAAAAGTGGATTAAGGGGAGCTCTTCTAGAAAACAGCAGTGGCTTGAAGAGTGTCCTCCCCCAAATTCATGTCTTTCCCAAAATCCCAGAATGTGATCTTATTTGGAAATAGGGTCATTGCAGAGGTAATTAGTTAAAGTCAACTTATACTGGAGTTGGGTGGGTCTTTTTTTTTTTTTTTTTTTTTTTTTTTTTTTTTTTTTTAGATGGAGTCTTGCTCTGTTGCCCAGGCTGGAATATAGTAGCATGATCTTGGCTCACCTCTGCCTCCCAGGTTCAAGCAATTCTCCTGCCTCAGCCTCCCAAGTAGCCGAGATTACAGGTGCATGCCACCACATCTGGCTAATTTTTATATTTTTAGTAGAGATGATGTTTCACAATGTTGGCCAGGCTGGTCTCGAACTCCTGATCACAAGTGATCTGCCCACCTGAGCCTCCCAAAGTGCTGGGATTACAGGTGTGAGCCACCATGCCCGGCCAAGGGTGGGTCTTATAAGAAGAGTTACACAGACACACAGGGACAACACCATGTGTATTAGTCTGCTAGAGTGACTGCAACAAAACACCACACACTGGGTGTCTTGAGAAACAGAGATATATTTCCTCACCGTTCTGAGGGCTAGAAGTCTAAAATCAAGGTGTGGGCAGGTTTGCTTTCTCCCGAGGCCTCTCTCCTTGGCTTCAGATGGCCGGCTTCTCACTGTGTCCTCCTGTGGTCACTTTCTGTCTGTTGTCTGTGTCCTAATCACTTCCTACAAGGACACCAGTCATACTGCATTAGGGTTCACCCTAACAACCCTAATTACCTCTTTAAAGGCCCTATCTCCAAATGCAGTCACATTCTGAGGTATTAGGGTTTAGGACTTCAACACATGAACTGGGGACTAGGACACAGTCAGCCCACAGCACCGTGTGACCATGAAGGCAGAGACTGGAGTGACGTGCCTGCAAGCAAGCCTGCGCTTGTGATCCTCTGACTCTGAAATCTGTCTCTGCAGCTCCAGCAGCTGTCTGGCAGGGACAATCAGACAAGTGCTATTTCATTCATTCATTCAAGTTACAGGTCGAATGCATGAAGGAATGAATGAATTTAAACTGGAAGTGATTTAAACCAGAAAGTAGCTCTCACGAGGCAATTGTGCACTCAGCCTTCACTCCTCCAGGTAGCTACAAATCATGAGAAAGTATAAGTGTGTGCACAGTCCAGTGCCTGTCTGACAACCCTGCTCCTAGGAGGAGTGGGTTTAAGGAAGATTTCAAAATATAGGAGAAGGGAGAGAAGGAGCTGTGTGAGGCAAGGGGGCCGCAAAGTGCAGAGCTGATCAGTTAGATCAGCGAACAGCAGGCAGCCTTTGTCCCTGGTGGGAAGCACCCAGCAAGGGACTGGTGGCAGGGAGCCCCTGAGAGGTGCCTGCTTTTTAAAGGGAAAATGTAATTTGTAAACAATCAACATCTTAACAAGCTATAAGCAATCAGCCCTGACTTCTAGCAGATTTACTGATGCTCGAGTGACTAAAATTCACAATGTTTTTCCCAGCCAACTTTGTTAATTTGTGGCCCATGTTCATTAGGACAAGTCCCCTGGGGTTGGTTTCCCTCTCCGCTTCCAATGTAATGACGCCAAGCTAGGGACCCGATCACTTCTCCAGAACGGGTGCGGGCCCAGGGCAGCCCAACCCTGCCTTTCTCCCTTTCTCACCGTGTTATAGGCTGGCCTCGTAACTAATAGGATAGGATATGTTTGTTTTGTTTGAAAATTCTAGCGTTTCAAAAATCACCCATCATTTATCACTCATCTGAGATGAGCAATTGTGGGTCGATGCTGGCTGGATGCTTTTCCTCCAAACCCCTCCTTTCTTTACCTCCTCCCACCTCCCACCCCTCTGGGGAAATCAAGAAAAACAAGATTCTACTTGTCCAGGCCCTCCGAGACTCCCCGGAATTGCTGGAGTCGTCACAATAAGTGGCAGTAGTAGAAGCATATACAGAATGGTAAATACAAACTGCTCTATGGAGTGGCAAAAAATAATGAAGTAATTAGGTGAACTATTATCAGCACCTGTGACTGATGGGTACAAGCACGTTTCTGGCTTTAGTATATTGTCATTTGTCAGGAACAATGTGCAGATTCTGAAGTTGCCTAACTTACTGTCCTACGTCCAGCTTCCCTCTCCCGAGAGCCCCAGTCACCCCAGGTGGGTCGATGCCCGAGTTCAGCCTGCGGAAATGCACACTGGGGAAATGAGAGTCCTGCTTTGCAATCCATTATGGGTAATGCCATTTTAATTAGCAATTTATGTGAGCCTAAGAGGTGCTACTTTATGTGCTATTTCTAGACTAAGCCTGGGGCCCACGGACAGACAGATCAAGCCATGAGCCCACTTCGATGTGAGACAATTGAGGAGATGGGGACTTGCAAAATAACTCAGAGTTGATTCTCAATACAAATGGCCATTCAGACGCTCAGCCTGCATTCTTGTACGGTAGACAGCCCTGTCTTCTCCTTGAGATTTCTGAAGTGCCCACTTGCCAGAAATCATGGTAATTTGATGATGATAATAATAGTTAGCACACATCGCATCACTGTGCACCAGGCCCTGCTTTAAACGCGGCATTTGTACTTCCTCATTCATTCCTCACAACAACCCAGTGAGATAGATACTGTCATCATCCCCAGTCAACAGATGGGGAAACCGAGGCACTGAAGTTAAGTGACTGGTCTTACGTCACAGAGCCAGGTTTCCAACCCAGGCAATTTGGTGTCAAACTGTACCCCCTCATCTTCTGTTCACTGCCCCTGCTTGGTGGGTGCCATCCAGAACTGGGGACCAAGGCATGTTGACAGTGTGGCTGGAACAGGCTGAGCAACAAGGAGGGAGGTAAAGAGGTAGAAAAAGGGTTGTGCTAAAAACAAGGCCAGAAGGCAGTCTCTCAAGGCTTACCCTTGGACTTGGGAGGATCCAACACCTTCCTGGAGCAGGGACAGGCAGAGATCCAGGTACAACGGTTCTGCATACAGACGTATGGATCACAGCTCCCATGATTCTCTGGAGAAATGCATGACATGGACGGGGTAAATCCACGTGCTGAGACACACACACACACACACACACACACACACACACACACACACGTTTCTTCTAAGCTTCCTTCCATCTAAAACCTCTCCCGGCCCACACACATCGACTGGTTCCTGAAGGATTTGGTTTTTAAACCAATAGAGTTGGTTGAATTGCTAGCCAGGTGATTGTGTTTTGCAAGTTACGCTTCCTCCAGCAGGCGGAGTTTTTAATTCCACCATCCAGTCAACATTTCCAACTCTGCTGGATGACTGAAGACAAGTTACCCACCTCCTGGGACCTTGAGTTTCTCATCTGTAAAATGGACCCCACCTGTGAGGATTAAACGAGTTAATAAATGTTAACTGCTAATTATTATTATTTTAAACAAAGGAGGAGTGTCTGGGAAGCTAAGGAAGCTTAAACTTCAGGGCCCTGTCTTGCAAGTTCCCTCCCTCAAGACTCTGTATTCTGTATCGATAATTTTGTCTTTTTTTTTGGAACAAAGTCTCACTCTGTAATCAGGCTGGAGTGCAGTGGCCTGATCTCGGCTCACTGCAACCTCCACCTCCCAGGTTCAAACGATTCTCCTGCCTCAGCTTCCCAAGTAGCTGGGATTACAGGTGCAGGCCACCATTTCCAGCTAATTTTTTAATTTTTAGTAGAGACGAGGTTTCACCAGTTGGCCAGGATGTTCTCCATCTCTTGACCTTGTGATCCACCTGCCTTGTCCTTCAAAAGTGCTGGGATTACAGGTGTAGCCACTGCACCCAGCCCTGTCTTCTTTTTCTTAAAGAGAGCACTGTCCCCCCACCCCTGCGCCCACCACCCCTAGGATTGTATAAGCTTCAGGCTCCTCAAACCTGGGCCTACCCCATGGGGATTAAGGCAAGGAAGCACGTGGCTGGGCTAAATCGCTATAGCTCTGCCTAGCTCAAACACACAGAACTTGTAGATAGTAGATCTGAAAACACGTGTGAAGGACTCTGCTTTGTGAATGGGGGCACAAACTTCTAAGAAGACGAGAAGCCGTAGAAGACAGTATTTGCTAGACTTATTATAGGGTGACCAACTTATCCCCGTTTGTCTGGGACTATACTAGTTTAAAAGCTGAAAGCACCATGTCTCGAAAATCTCTTCTGTTCTGGGCAAGCTGGGTCAGTTTATCACCTTCCTTGTTGAGAAGCATGTCAGTGCTACTCACCACAGGGCTCCCAGCTAGTCGAGTGCTTAGCATGTGGTAGGTGCCCAGTAAATATTTGTTGAATGAATGGAGTGTAAACCAACCATTGGTACCTCACGGGCTTAGAGGAGGATGAGTGCACAGTGATCTAAGGTGAACGGGTAGATTTCATGGAAATTCCGCATGAAAAAATAAGCCTGTGATGGTGAGATTGGATCACAAAACGGCCCTTATTGAAAGTAGGGTTGTGGAATGTGATGAGGGGAATCCCCTGAATGCAGGGGGCTGCTTAGACCCCAGGACAGTTTCTGTTTACTTTCATGTACCTGATAACAAACAGTATGTCTTCCATTAGAATTTCCACATCATCATTTTCTCCGCTTGGAAATAATGCTGAGTGCAAGGCAGAACCTTGACTACAAGCTGAATCTGGTGTGTGAGTGTGTGTGTTTGGTGGGGGCAGGGGGAGGATACATAGTGCCCCAGGCAGGTCGGCAGTGGGCTTTGGGCATGCGGTGAGCTGCTCAGGCCCCAGTTCCACAGGCTGTGTAGACTCCAATTACCCGAGGACTTAGAGATCAAACAGCCCACTGTGCCTCACAATACAGGAGGAGGTCTTAATTCTGTTCCGCACTACACCCTTCTAGCCAGATCGTGCGAAACAATGCCTTATATTTATGTCTTCCTGAGCCCCAAGCCTCTCTGAAATTGTCTCAGGTTATCCCAGCAACATCGCTACAAAGCGGACAGAGGAGAGAGTTAGATGGTCTAAAGAATCATGCGATTTCTACTGGACTGGTCAGAATGTCACGGCAACCACAGATGGCTTTATCAAAATCTCACACTCCGGCTTTGTTGAGGACAGAACACTTTACATGTTATTTATTTTTATTTTTAGGTCTATTTTTAGTGGCGGCATGTTGGCTTGTGGGGAAAATAGTTTGCACTGGTCCTCAGCCGAGCTTCCCATATGCGCAGGGAACTCTATACGCAGAAAACAAGAAAGCCAGGACAATGCGGATGGCTAGAGACTGGGACTTTGCAAATTTTATTTTCTCCACTCACATAGTACAAACAGGATTCGTAGTAAGGCACAATGCTGCCAAAATTAGTCTGATTTCCTTTTTAACTATAACGTTAGCTAATAGGTAAATATTCTAAAAAATGTAGTCATTTTGAACATTTGAGATTAAGGAAAGCAGAAAGATTTGGAATATTCTTTTTGTATAGACATTAACTGTAGGCAACGACAGAGACCTGAGCCCGTAAGTCTGGTTTATTTTTACATATGAGCATTAAAGAAAAGCCCATCTTGCTTTCAGACAATGGGTTTTTAAAATTTGAGAATAGTGCACCAAATGATGAGAAATTTTAGGATTGTTTGATATGTCACTTAACCCATAGAAAACCGAAGTCTTCATCCTGCGACTTGTTCATAGCCTTTTATAAGAATGAACATTTCAGAAACATTGACAAATGCTTCTCTTAAAATAAATCACTCTTTGATAAAGAGAGTGGAAAATAAATGTTTGAGATGTAGCTGAAGCTCTATCACAATTTAGGAATCAGGATTATAGTTCAAAAGGCAAAAACTGATGCCTTTTGAGGTTGAGCATTTCATACTGAAAGCATATATTTATAATGGAAATTAACTTTAACACGAAGAGGAAATGATCTTATAGGATTTTCTATTTTGGAACTAATAAGCAATATCATTTCTTATTTGATGGTCTTAAGAAGCAGTTAACATGACTTGAAAGCAACATTTTTCAAGTACTGTATACATGCCACCATGGTAAACCAGAAAGGGAAAATGCTCCTGTCTGTGAGACTCCTAAACAATTTATCTTAATTTGAGCTGTTAACTCTCAAATACTGAATGTTCTTCCTGCTGTTCTGCGTAGTCCCACATTGTATATTTAATGATTTCTGGAAATTTACAACCAAGTGACTTATTATCTCTCTTTGAATTGTCTGGAAGATACTTAATGCAAAAAAAAACCTCTTAGAGTCCTCATTCTATTAAGAACTAAACTTACAAGAATAAACTTGGAGATATTTATTTTTTCCACTACTACTTTTGGATGTATTAATTCTTTTTATTATAGTAGCCCCAGGTTAGAAAGCTAAAAATCAAAATGGTTGATAATTGTGAAATATGATATGTAATTCATGGCAAAATATTACGATTATACATATGTGTAACAATTAAGATGTCTTAGGAGCTAGCACAGAGTGAGCTGGATAAAATGCGGCACCTGCCACAGAATCTTTCCTCTGTGCATTTCAGTAATGGCAGGCAAGTCCTCGGGGTTGTAGAAGTCACGGTGAGGTCATGGATTTCTACACACAGCGATGGTTTCTGCGGGACAAAAAGCAGTGAATATCGTGCTACTTACCTTGCTTTATACCTCTACTGTTGCAGGCAAGGATGACTCCCACGGCGTCTTGGTTACTTACCTGCTTCCCAAAAGAAATGTTTTCCCTGACCGGTTACTTCTTGGTTGTTCCTTAAGACACAGGAATTTTGGAAAAGACTGTGGCATGCTTTCTTCAGTGGTTCCTCTCAGTTTAGTGCCTTAAAGATGGACAAATGTTCACTGGCTGCCCGATAGGCACTAAGCAATCAAGCATGTTCCAAAAGCCTTTCCCACAGCATAAGCACAGTTTCACAGATGGCCACTAGATGGCGTGTGACAACCATTTGTATCAGCCACACGCGAAGGCTTCCCCATTCTCCATGAAGGTACCAGTCGCGTCCTCCAGCAATTCCTCCAAGACAACTTCACTATTATGTTATCATTTCCGTCTTCACATGGAAACTTAAATGGTCTGGATTTACGCTTTGGAAGTAGGGTGAAATTTTCAGTGGAAGAGCCTGTATCAGAATGTGTGCTGTTGTGTTTACGCATCACCGTTAATAAGCATTGGCACTTAAAGCTGAATTAAGGCACGTGGTTAAATGTCAGTGTGTATCTACCCGCTTACTTACCATTGTTTCGTCAAACATCTGTTAAGTGTCTACTACCATGTGCAAAATGGGACTCATTCTTCTAAAATGTTGGAAGGACATTTTATTACCAGAAAGTAATACAAATATCAGAAAATAAAGACATCATTTTATGTTGCACCGTTGGTCATTGATATAATGTTAAAGCTAAATACATTAGCTCCTCCTTATCTAAGGTTTTGTTTTCTGTGGTTTCACTTACCTGCAGTCAGTTGTGGCCCCAAAAATTTAAATGGAAAATTTCAGAAGTAATTCATAAGTTTTAAATTGCATGCTGAAATCTCTTGCCATCTGTCCCACCTGCTCTGTCACACCTAGGAGGTAAGTCTTCTCTTTGTCCAGAATATCCACACTGTCTAAGCTACCTTCCGGTCAGTCACACGGTAGTTATCTCAGTTATCACATAGACTGTCACCACCGTTTCCCAGTGCCTGTGTTGAAGTAACCCTTATTTTGTTATATAATGGCCTCAAAGCATGAGAGTGATGATGCTGGCAATTTGCATATGCCAAAAAGAAGCCATAAAATGCTTCCTTTAAGTGAAAAGGTGAAAGTTATCAACTTAAGGAAAGAAAAAAAATTGCATGCTGACATTGCTAAGATCTACAGTAAGAATGAATCTTCTACCCATGAATTGTGGCCAATTAGCTGTGAGCACCACTGCACTCAGACCAGCCTATCCATGAATGGTAAGGAAAAAAGAAATTCATGCCTAGTATATGTAGGGTTTGGTACTACTGCAGCTTCAGGCATCCAGTGGGGCTCTTGGAAGAATGTATTCCCCCACAGATGAGGGGCAGTTGTATGCTCCTGGAATTTCAGTAGCTTCATTTCTTGATATAGAATAAATCTGAATGTCAAGGGGAAAGATCACATGAAGCACCTTGCAAGTGATCTTTCCCCTTATAGCAAAATCTGATTCTCCTTGCCTTAATAAATGTAAATTCCTATAAAGAAAATAAATTAATAAAACATACAAGGCCTACAGTGGTGTCAATTTCTTTTTTGTGTCCATTGTCACCAAGTATAGAAATGAGTTATTTTATGACATAATTTTTACAAATCCATATTAAGATACACCTGAATAATAATGACTTTGTTACAAAGTGTTCAGAAAGACATGAAAAAATGTCCCCAAAAGTTAGCTCCACATCCATGAGAAAATAAAGCAATCTCTAAGATCATTTCCACTTTTAAAAGTCAGCGGTTTAAAAAAAAAATAGTGGCATTTGAGTTCTTTCACCCGTCTCAAAATAGGTGTGATATTTCTTCTAAGCCAATCTCTAACTGAAAGAACAGAATGGTCTCATTTTTAGAATTACTAGCTGTTTGTTTGAACTGAAGAATTAGTTGCATTTCAAAATAAGGACATGCCTAATGAAATGATTAAAACACACGGAACATTAAATTATAAGCAGATGGGGGTAAAACCAAGGGAGCGGGGAGGTGAGTTTGCTGGAGACCTGAAGTCCAGGGAAGCTGACAGCTTTGGGTTTTCCTCAATAACACAGAAGATGATTGTTTAAGCAACAGAGGGTAAGAAAACAACCTTTGGAAGATTCTCTCTCTTTCTCTCCCGCCACCCACCCCCTCCTTCTCCTCCCTCTTTTTTGATAGGCAGCAACTTAAAGAAAAGCCTGAAAAGAAAACCCATGTGTATTGTAACAGTTTAAAGAGACAGCCATTACAGAAAGAAAACAGACATTCACATGGATGCCTGGGAAAGAACCAGGAGTCACCGTGCAAATGTGTCATAGCAGTGAGAAGTCCTGTGAGAGTGAAGATCAGCCAGGCCCTGGTGAGTCACGGCTCAGGATTCAGACCTTCATCTTCCTACGACACTCATCTCCCTGGTCCCAGTTATTCCTGAAACACCGTCCCTCCTCCATTTCCCCTGAAATTTATCATTTAAAATGTGGCTCTGTATAGGTAAAAGATAAGAGTTTGATGAGATAGAGTTTACAACAGCTAAAAAAGAAGCTTAGTGGATGGGAGCCGTTCACAGACGGTGCAAATTGTCTGTTAAGTGGCACTTTATGGATGGGGAGAATCCATGAGAGTTTTATCTTGAATTTCTATCAGGCTGCATTTAGCAGAAGCTGGTTCCCTGGAAACTGGCATAAAAAAAAAATCTCTGTCGTGTTTCTATCTTTCCTGGATATACAATGGCAGTTTCGACCCATTTGAGCTGGCTTCCTGAACAGTGGCAGCGATTGTCTCCGAGCGTGGGTTAATGGATGTAGGTCTAGAGGTAAAGGAAATAAACCCTCTAAGATGTTGTCTAATTTTTAAAAGGCATCTCACCTTCCTCAGCTGTGTGTCTTCTTTGTCTTGGATGTCTGCAAGGGAGAGGACAGCATGGCTGTGGCGACTGTGCGTTGCACCCAGGGCCAGGGCCAGGCTCCAAGTGAGGGCGAGGGTCACCTTTCGAATGGAAATCACTTCTTGCTTTAATAGCAGAAAGAACGCCTTGGATGTGAGTCAGCACACACACACACACACACACACACACACACACACACACTCCCCATGAAGGAATTGACTGCTCTCAGTCTCTTTCAGGTAAGGCCTCTCCTCATCCATCTAAGCCGCTCTCTATGTCTGCAGAACTATATCACATCAGTGCTTCCACATCTGTCCTCATGGCACTGAGAAATTCTCTGGAAACTCACTAGTTATTGCAGAGTCTTGTTTCCCTGGCATCATCCTCCAAGAGAAGATACAAGCTGTTGATCTTGCTCTACCTCGTGCCTAATTAAAACTCTCAGAGCCATCTCTTCCAGGTGGCAATGACTACGTGCTCAGGAGTTGGGGGATGGGTCTCCTTCCCAGATAATTTGCCCCATTTACCAGGCAGATCTGGGTTCAATGGAATACTTAGCTTCACCAACCATGAAGTGTTGCCCCCCGCTCCCCACCCGATCACAATACAATCTCAAGATTTTCTCTTTAACCTTTAAAGTTCTATTGAATATGTCCTATTGTAAGCCTCTTTCAGTCTTTGGAAAGAAAATGGGTCATAAATGTATACAATTAACACTTGTATATAAAAACATATAAGTAGCATCTACTAAAATTCCACCTTTAGAGATGCACTTTATGGAGATTTGAAGGTATTCTCATCACTCTATGAGAAAAGAACATGCTTGAGGAGGTTATCACCTGAAACCTTTCTTTATCGGCTACTTGGCAGAGTGGAAGCTGGGGGGGCCCAGAGGCTGGAAGGGACAGGAAATTACTTAGCAGTCAACCAAAAGCAAAGCTGATCAGGGCTTCATGAGGAGATAAGGCAGAACTGACCGAGGTGGGGGCAGGAGTGGGGCGAGTTGGAGATGGGGAGGAGTCAAAGGCACAGGCAAGCCACTCTCTGTCTGAACCCATGTGACTCACACCCTTTCGTGGTCTCTCCAGGATCCTGCAGGAACAAAGGGACGCCTGTGGCTCTGCAACTGGATTGGAAGGAGCTAAAACTCTCCTGATTTGAGTTTCTGGCTCTGCTCCAGTCGGGCACACCTCCATGAAGACCTCAAAGTTATGTCCTCCAAAAACTCATTGAGTAGCTGCCATATCCTCATGGTCTTCATCATCACGGTGATAGAAGCTCACACAAGCAAGTCACCCACATTATGCCACTTAGACCTCCCCATTGCCCTATGAAGTAAGCACCACGCTCACCCTGAGCCCTGGCTGGAGCAGCAGTTGCTGCATAATAAGAGCTCCAGGAAGGGCAGTCACGGCAGCATTCTGTGTGCAGCACGTGCATGGGAACAGTCCCTAGAAAGGGAAAAGAGGAAGCTCTATGGCCTTCCAGGTGCTAAAGAGTGATTAATCCACACTAGTCAACTGAACACCTATTCCATGTCTTTGTGGAAAACACAGGATGCTGGGTTTGCAGGCGATGCTACACCTGGCGTGCTGTGTTGGACATGTAAAGGTTTGCCAAGTCAGCTTAAGGGTGACTTGGAGGTGTGGATGGACCACCCCTTGCCCTTGAGAAGCTATCTTTGAAGATGACGGGAGGAGATGCAGAGTGGCACAAAGTATGCGGACAAGCGCACGGGGTGTCTGCCCGGGACATCCACCTGCTGTGCTCTCAGCTGCCCGCAGTGTTTCTCCACCTTCCCTGGCCCAAGGAGCACCTGAGGGAGGTGGACAAAGATGCAGATTTCTGAGCCCCATCCCCAGAGATGTCACTTTGCTGTGTCTGGAGGAGGCCAGGGAATTTACATTTTTACCAGGTTTCTCAGGTGATCCCGATGCTGGGGGCCAGAGACCTCCCGCTGAGAAACAAAGACCTAGAGGAGACAGAGATCAGAGTGAACCAGGAGCTGCCCAGAGAAGGGGAGGTGTTGAGTGGGCCCTGACTTTATCACAGCTAGGACCATTTACCCCACTGGGGCCCTGCACTTCTTCAGAACTGGGTGCCTGGAAGGGGAAGCAGAGACAAGACCAAGTCACACATCCTACCTTGGGAACCCATGCTTGGGAAGGTGAAACAAGTCTCAGATTAGCTCTGAGGCCCCCAGAGTGCAGCTCAGGCCCTGACCAGCCAGGAGGAGGCTGAGGGGCGCCTCACTCAGCTTTGTGTCCAGCTGCCTGGATGGAAACAGCTGAACTTCAAAGGAAGCATGGGGTTTACCCGAGGGCAGCTGTGGATGTGTGGGTGGATGGGACGCCAAGGGGAGCTGAGGAAAAAACTCGAGAACAGAGACAGAGAGAGAGACTGAGATTCCGGAAGGAAATTAACAGACTTTCATTTGGGCTTTATTTACGAGGTGAGGTGGGTATACTTGGGATTGTCTTCCACTTTTGTGTTTTAATCAGCACTCAACAGTAAACTCACCCCGATCATCTCTTGAATATCCATGCAGAGAAACTGTTTCATGGTAATTCCATCTGAAATCCTTTCCCTCACTCATCCTTTAAGCACCACTATTAAAACTCCCTGGAAGCCAGAAGGTGAAGAACTTGGGGCATCCACGTCATACCCAGCAGATGCTTTTGTGAGCTTTTTTTTTTTTTTTTTCATGAGATGCAGTGATTTGAGAGAGTTTGGCTAAAAGATGTTGAAAACTTCAAACAAACAAAAGCAAGCCACTCAGGATTTGGAAGACTGAACAGTTAAGAGCCTGAACCATGTTCTGTCTCAGGAAGACACGGGAAGACAGACGGGGCCCCCTAGCAGTTTCACAACAGGTGAGAAGATGTTATCGAAGGAATTGCTTTCAATGGCTTAAGTTGCAGGAGGGAAAACATGGGCTCAGAGCTTGTAGAAGTTAAAACGAAACAAAACAAAAACTAACAACAACAACAATCATGGATTGTGCAGAAAAAAAGAACTAGTAAAACAAGGGAAGGAACTGCCAAAGAAAGTGGAATTTCTATCCCTGGAGCTATTTTCAGTGGGAGGAGGGACCTCTTTATTACAGGTTGTTTCCAGAAATGAACTCCATTCCATCACAATGCCTGGGAATAAACTAAATGACCCAGGCGAAGCTCCTTCCAGCCCAAACGACTCCGTAATTATTGACCCAGGTGGCCAGGGGTTTGTCTCAGAGGATGAAGAGTCCGTTTTCCACTGACTTGCAAAGCCTCTGTTGCCAACAGTGCTTTGTCATTGCCTGGATCGTTTTCAAGTCATTCTGTTCAGCAAAAACTCCAATGGGGAGTCCACACAGCAACCCGCTAAGCACTTGCTGAGGGACTTTGAGGCCTCAGTTCTTTCTGGCCAAATTTAATTCCCAATTGCATTGTGCAGGCTCAGGAAAAGTCCTAAGGTCTGCTGAAGAATCCTGCAGAATTCTCCTGGGAGAAATGGAAGTAGCAAATACCCTCCATTTTTTTTCTTGCTAAAAATTTCCAGCTAT